CTTTAAAAAAAGAACCAAACCTTATTTTATTATTTTTTCAAACTAAGTTAATGTAATTTTATTTATATTTTTTCTATAGATATAGTGGGTACTGAGAACACAATAATTTATTATATTAACTGATATATTTCTTTGATGTGTGTATATATTTGTCGAAAGATATTAGAATTTTTTATTCTAAAATAAATAAGAAGAAATTATATTTTTATTTAGTCAAAATTAATATATTGCCACCAAAAATTTCAATGCCATAAAATAATTCGATATAAATTTGGAAATGAAAAAATTAAACTTTAACTAGAGATTCTGTTTTAAGCTATCTCGTTTGTGAAATGAACATGTAAATATATCAGCTGATTTCGCTTTCTGGTAGAGAAAAACAATTCTTTAATTTTAAATAGACTAATGTCATATATATACATGTGTATGTTTATTAATTATATATTGTAGTTCAAAAGAGATACAATATACGTATCAAAATATAATTTCAAGGTTTTTCATCATATATGTGTACATATTTAAGATTTCAATTATCTTATGAACATATAATAAAATTTAAAATAAATTCACAAATGAATATTTTTTATTAAAAAATTGCATTATGATTTTTTAATCTCAATAATTAAAAATCCACAAACCAAATATATGCACAAATGTATAAAAATATACATAAGTAAATAAGTTAATAAATTATATTATTTTTTGTATTTCTAATTTTCGTTGTAAGGCTAAAAATGCTTGAGTGTATACACACAATAAATAATATATATATATACACATATATATATATATATATATATATATATATGTGTATATATAATGTAATGATAATTTGTATTATTTCCTTGATGAAACTCCATAATTCAAAAGCACTAGAAAAACAATCTATTACTATCAATCCTTGTCATGTTTTTTTTAAATGTCTTTGAAAAAATTATTGGTACATCTTCATATAAAAGTTATAATAATTCATCTAATCAGGTAGTTTAGTTATTTAAAAATCGTTCCTAAGAAATCAAAGCTGAATTGATTTTAGATTGTGGAACCCTCTGTTTTTAAGTATAGCATCTATCAGTAAAATATCTGGAGACGATGGGATATCAGAATGAGATTTTGAAGACGGTTCAATGAATGTTTTTTTCATATTTGAATAGTAGCAGTAATAAAACATAACTGCCATTTTTAGGACTATACATTTTCAAAAAGTTTAATGGTTTTTTATGTTTTTGTACCAATTTCCATTTGAAGTGTAGCATTGTGAAACTACCAAATCTGTTTGATCTAATGTTGACAATAAACGTTGTCATAGACTTGGCTTTTGATGGTTAAGTTGGTTTTAATTAAATGCGATTCGAGGTTATAACTTAATCAACATTGGAGATATTTTATCGTTAATTAATGAATCAGAACAGTTCCCACCCTGTTTTGTTCTTATTTCAGCCATTGATAATCAACCACTCAGAATTTGAAAAAAAAACAATTAATTGAATTAGTATATTAAATAGAAACACGAATATCAAATAGTTTGATAAACTCACATAACATTTGTGCAAATGTTTATCTCAATTGATGTGTATATATATATATATATATATATATTCTTCATTCAATTATACCTCTTTGTAATATGTGCTTTGTGCTGCATTGATTTTTTCAGTCATAGATTATTATTATTATTATTATTATTGGTAATTATTATTACACACACATGCATAAACTCAATATGCTTGAATATTTTTGCATACAAATATTCAAAATATAAACGACATTTTTTTATCTATACTTATTTTTTCTTCTTTCAAGTAATTAAATATTTATACGATTCTTTTAATATAGTGTTCTAAAAACTATATGCTTTTCAGGTATAAAGCACCAACTGGAATGAACTTAATCCTGTAAATTGATATAACATTATTGGCATACAATTACAGCTAAATTACCTGCATCACATAAAAAAAATTTAAGAATCCACCAACATAATCGAAAAGAAAGTGAATTGTGTTTAAGAACAAGTTGCTGCAAGTATGGTTTTGCCATTGTATGAAAAAATTCATGATTTGGAAGATTATACCATACATTGGACTACAATACTTGATTAATTTCTTAACTTTTCAAATAAATGAATACACTATTTTATAAAGTGTAAAAGAAAAAAAACTGAAAATGTTTTATCTTTAAGTTTTTAATCATTAGAATAATTAATAATGATAATTATTGATTGAATATTAAAAAATATTTGTTGATTGTTTTTGAAAATAATAATGTAGAAATAAACCAATTAAACGTGTTTTAATGTATTATCATGTTTTTTTAAAACGGGAGGGATATACATAAATACATACATATACATAAATCATCTCTAATGTATTAAACATGTATTACAATTAAAAGCTCTATTTATTGTCTAATATTATATGAAATAATTAGAAAAGGTAATAAGTAATTTTTTTAGCTTGGTGTGCATGCTTATGTGCATCTCAAAAAAAGTATTTGCACAAGGTCATGACAGCAAAAGGGTTAAAAACGAAAGGCCAAAAATCGCATGACCTATAAGCTACAGAATATATATATATATATATAAAAAAATATTATGTTCTGAATCAGGCTTTAAAAAGATATTTATTAAAATATTAGAGTTAAACGAAGTGTGAAAAATAGTGTTTATCTCTTTTCAAAAATTATGGATGTGATAATATCAGCTTTTACAAAAATAAGTTTATTTCTGTTTTTTAATGTACTTTTTATATCTACTTAATTTAAGCTTGTATATTTAACAGTTTTTAAAAATGTATCAATAAAAACATTTAAAATATAATCAGTAATATGACTTTGTTATTTTATGCAGAATATCAATTTTTCGATGCAAATATACTTTTTAAATTATTTAATTTTTGTGAGTTGAAAACAACTGTCTGTCATTATTTTTTAAATAAAAAAGAATAAGAAATAAGAGGTTATTAATTATATAGTAAATTTAGTTTTTAATAGTTTAATTATATATTGGAGCTTGTTAGTTTTGGAGGAATTAATTTTTGGAAGGAATATTGTATATAAGTTACTTTTGCTACCACAATTTTTGCTATTGCCACCACAATCTGCCACCTACTTCACATATTTCTTGAGTTTTCTCTATTCAAATAATTAAAAATATCTATTAATATTTCTGAAGTGTGTTCTTGTTTTCAAATTATATATACATTGGCAATCATCTCAACAGGGATGCATGCAATACTATAAACACAACTATTGGTATTCAAAAAACCAATTTGGACACATATTCTTGCTCTTGTATTTATTTTATTTGTTATAACTATACCAATACCTGACTTTATATCCCACATTTTGAAGAAGTGAAAAAGAGAAAAAAATAAAATAAAATAAAAATACAGGATTTGTCAACGTAATTTCAGCAAAGCGCACACACACGTCCACACACTCCCAAATAATAGTATCTCCAAAGTTCAGGATGAGGTTTGAATACACTCGTGAAGTATTAATATCTATAAAAACATGAAAAGTCGTGAATCTTCACAAGCTACCCAAAAAAAGACAAAAATCCATCACATTGGAATACATGCAATATCTCGAAAAATATTACTAAAAGATAAACCACACTTTATTGCCCTTCATTCATACGCAAACCAATAGAATAGGATGACAATATATATATATATATATATATATAAATGTGTGTGTGTGTGTGTGTGTGTTTTATAAAATTTTGTTGGTAAAATTCATGGACTTGTGTTGGGCAAAGACCCAATTGAAGGAAAAATAAGAAATGTAAGTCAAACTCAACACAATCAAATGTACCCCGCACCCCCACCATCAGCCCCTTTTATGTGCCACAACAGGACGGGTCGAACAGGTTGGCCCGGCCTACTTCCACGGCAACAGGACACAGCACGGAGACATCATTCATCCATGAACGGATGAACACGTCGTCCAAGTAGTCGGATGAACCTCCGGCGTGGACCCATCAACGTCCAGCTCAGACATCAAGTTCCCATGTCCATGTGGCGATCGAATAGCGCTGGTGAAAACCAGGCTGGGGAACTCACTCGCCGTCCATGGCTCACTCGCTCTCTCTCCTAGTCAAGGAGTCGACCGTAAGATTTACCCTATTCAAACGGCACTGAAAATTTTGTCCTCGGTAAACAGAAGGATGGATTTGGAGTTTTGCGGGCTATTACGTGTACATCTTCAAATCTGCATGCATTTTTTTAACATATATATATATATATATATATATATATATGTAATTATTATCATTTCTGGTAAACGAAAAGGGATGGAACCTTTTGGTGAGTTGATTATTTGGGGTGGTTTGATTACCATTGAGTTTGTTTGTTTGTTTGTTTGTTTGTTTTTTTTTAGGTTGTATGAATGAATGAGATGAGATGAAAAATCATGAACTTATTTGGGAGAAGAGAGGGTTGATGAGAAGAATCCATAATGAAAAGTTGACTTGTGTAAGTTGCCTGAAGGGTGGCGACATCATTGAAGCATTGAGAGTAAGTTTATGGAAGACATTGATGTTGGGGGGTTTTCTTCAGGCACCTTTCAATTCTTATGCTTTGTTTGTACAAGCTAAGATTTCAATGGCATTCAAAGCATCTCCCCCGATGCTATCCCCCACCCCTCACAATACAAAACAAACATCCGCACACCCAATAACCAAAATAAAACAAAAATTCACTACAAAAAAACAGAAAAGGACCCCGTACCGAACATACCCCTTTCATAATTCTGATCTTTTCTGATTCTGACCCAGATCGAAAAGATCAGAATCCACCCGGGCAAGAACGAAAAAGAATGGTAGAGGAAAAAGTTTCGCAGGACTAGACCCCAAGACCAGTTTCTGTTCTGGAGTACCAGACACATACCCGTATGATATACGAATACGGATTACGGACGGTGCCCGATGGGGTGGACTGCCCTGCCCTTCCCGGCGGGTGGGCAGAGGCGGTCGCAGTCGCAGTGGCGCGGGGAGAGCGAGCGACGGGTGCCAAATCCCACTCACACTGCCACTGCCACTCGGCCACTCACTCACCCGCACTCGCACTCTCACAGCTGAATGCAAACGCTTCGTCACGGCATGTCAGAATTCTCTCCCCTCTCGCTCTCGAGTTGCTACTCCGCTCTCTCGCTCACTCCCTCCTTCTCACTCTCTCTGTCTCTGTCTCTTTTTTTGGTTGGTTGCTTGCTTAATCCGATTCTGTTGATTCTGGCTCATGTGAGTGTTGTTAGTTGCACGCTGGAGCGGGATTGTACCTCGCGGTATCCTTCTTCTAAACTTCTTAGACGTGGCGGAGTCGGGCAATGTGTGTCTGCTTCGCGGGGGTGTTGGAATTGATGAGTTGCGAAATGTAATGTTTCGTTTGTGGTGCTGGCTCGCCGATGCGCAATTGGAGGTAGGGGAGTAATCGAGTGGTGCGGGTTGAGTAGAGCGTATTGGATATTTGTTTTCTTGGATTTTTCGTCGTTTTTATTTATTTTCTTTTTCTTCTAGGTTGTTGATTTTCATTGTTGTTGTTGTTGTTGAGCTTCTGAGTGAATGAGTGTAGATGAGGAGGTTGTGTTGATTTTGTAGCGTGGTAGTCGGTCTTCGATCTCTTGTTCAATTGGTTGCAGGGTTCTTGTGCAGGTGGAGATGAGGTAGCGATGTTTTCTTCTACTTCTTCTTCTTCTTCGTCTTCGTCGCATGAGGCTCATACTGGTTAGTTAGTGTTTGATTTCGTTAGGTTTACTGGCTATGTGAGCAGCCGTGTTGTCTCGAGGAGTCAGGTTCGGAGGATCTCCAGCTCACTGCTGGAACGTGCGGACACACGTCCGTGTTGAGATTCAGCTCCACGGAACAAAAAATATCAGAGGTTGGGTGTAGTCTACAGACTCTAGTGGCAATCGCGGCCAAGTTTCGTCGCGTTGCCAAGCTCCAGTGAATAATGCTCCGTTGAAATTTGGGGTTCACGCGCCGCTGATACTTCTAGTTCACCGTCGTCGGGGTCAGAACCGATGTCGCTCTTCTCGGGTCCATTTCCGCGTCAGCCTGGTTGTGTAAATTTAGCCTTTGGCTGCAAGATTTTCACGCTCCGCTTAGTAACATCATATAGTAGCCCTGGCTTTTGCGGGAGAAAAGGGTTGGACCTACCTTTGACCCGACTTCCTGCCCCGGGCAAGTCCTTGGTGTCCGTAAGCAACTGCGGCACACTTGGTCCCAGCCTGGTTGCATCAGCGCTCGTCACCCATGATGACTCACCTGGGCGAGCGTCACTCATCAAGTGTACCGAAAATTGGTTGGAAGTTTTCGTTCGGGGGTTGAATGTTTTTTACTTCGCAGCTGGAGCTCTCGTTGCGTGGGGCGTTCGTGTAGGATAACGGGGCTCGGTACTATGAGGAGCATGGCGACGGTCGGGGACTTGTAGTCGGTCAGGCTGTTGTTCTGTACTCGTAGTGAGTAATTGACGCAGGGCTCGTCCCAGTGGCATGTCACAAGCTTCCCTTGTTCCATTGTGCGCCGTGTGCGAACTGATTAAACGAGTTTAGGGTGTACAGTCATGCTTCCCAACAGTGTACGACAAAGGCTGTGAGTAGCTGTCACCCTATAACACATTCCCTCTGAGCCCCTGACATGGAAGCCAGGGACGGAAGCGTTCCCAATTGCTGTGGCAAGGAGCTGCTGGTGGAGGGGTCATCCGCTCAGAAACGGTCGTTTGGCGCTGGCATAGTCTTGCTGATTGTTGGTACCATTTCGTTTCATTTAAGGAGCACGATCATGTACTGCTAGGAATGTGGCCATGTCGTTGATGCTCAGGAGCTCGCGGTTGGTCAGAGCTGGGCCTGTTCGGGAACAGTAGCCGTGGAGCTTCGTCGTCGAGGTTCAAGATGCGAAGCTTGAGCTTCTGAGTTTTAGTGCTGAGAGATGCTGTTGGTTTGTACAAAAGCGTCGGTTGGGTTTCGGTTGTGTACGTTATGCATGGAGATTGCGACAGCAGCCTAGGTCATCGAAAGTAGAGGATAAGGATTGCCCCACTGCAAGATGGATGTCGTTAGAATATGTTTTTCCAGAGCAATGATCTCCATTGCGCTTTACGATCCAATTAATAATCATAATAACAATAAAAATAGTAATAGCGATTTCCTACGATTTCTTGTGTCGCGTGCGCCGAGTGGATTCCTCCGATGATTTCCCTTTATCGAGTCGCATCTCATGCATCTGCTGAAGGCGACGGAAAGAGTCTTTCGACTGGTGCCATTTTCATTGAATTAGGATTCACTGAGAGTTCCTCGTAATTGCCCTCACAACTCAGAACCAGCGTTTGCAGTCCAGAGATATTTGAATTCCATAGAATGTCAATGGAAGAGTTCAGCAATACTGACCTTATACCTGGAGATCCCTTCTCTGCTGAAGGCGCAATTTAGAAGTCATGAACATGTTGGCTGGTCAGAACCCGAAATTCGTGAAGCTGAAATTGTGACTGTGTGTGCAGCAGTTCAGTCAGTGCTGCTTGCGATTCAAGCTTGACGGGTTAGTAGGATTCCGGCATCTACTCACCCCCTTCCAGTTCCCACATATTGTCGACGGTCAGCACCGACTGTTGATGTATTTCCGAGTTCTTCATGGTGTCTAGTGTACCCACATTGTGACTAAGGCAGCCGTGAGCTTTAGCACATCGTGATGCGGGAGTGCAAAAGACATCCATCGGAATCTCAGCCGTGTGGTGGTGTGTGTGCCCGCTGCTTAGAGGAGAGGCTGATATGGCTGTGGAGAGGAGAGAGCTTCCGTCTCGATGATCCAGACCAGATTTCGGAGACATCGGTGAGCGTCTCGGACGACCCAGTTCCTGCTCGTTCTAATGCTCGCCCGCTAGTCCCACGTGAAGATGTTGGTTCCGTAGCAGCACTGAACACCAGGAAACAGCTGCAACTGAATGAGGTATCGAGGCCACCCGTTTCGATCGGTGTCAATGTGAATCAGAGAAACGGCAGTGACACTGTGGACGGAAGCAAACAGCAACTCGACGGCAATATAGGTCCTACCAACTCGCGCAATTTGAAGGTCGCGATGGTAGGATCGACGGATTTGCATGCCCAACGGCGGAGGAATTTAGAGAATGGACTTGAATTCGAGCTGGCTTTCTCGAAAGACTCTCCGAGGGCCTTCCCGAAGTTGAAGAGTAAGAATTTTGAATCAATCGACTCTACAGAGCCTTCTTATCCTTCCAGTAATTTCAACATCGGCATCGAGGACATTGTAGCTCGTTTGTCCGTCGAGGCTAATCCTCGGTTTAACACCCTCGTGGATGAGCCTAGAATGTTTCGCTCGCGGTCGTTGCCTTTGGACAGCAGGTCCCGCACCGAAGACACAGGTCTGAGAGTAATCAACGAGCAGGCTGATGACATATACTTCGAAGACAGGTCGCGGTCGTTACCTCTAGACACTCGATCCAGAGCTGAGGACACAGCTCTGAGGGTAATCAACGAACAGGCGGGAGACGCATGCTTCGAAGAGAAAATGCAAAGATTTGGTTACTACGGCATCGATCGGGATGGTAATGGCGGCGGAGAGAGCTTGAATGACAACTTGGCGGAGCAAGGGTGCTTCAGCCCGAAATGGCAAAGCAAGAAGAGCCCCAAATGGGTGAAGGTCCTGGTTAGCCCCATGACATCGAGAAATCGCGTCTTTCCGAGCCGATCTAAGGACGATGTGAGGAGAGGAAGGGGCTCAAGGAAACGGGGGACGAGATTTGCTTCATCCGATTGGAGCCACAAGGAAGCAAACGGCGGAATGTCACCGCAACAGCGGAGCCCAGTGTTTTCATGGTTACAGGTACCCTTCCACATCCCTTCGACCTGTTCATGCCCAACCTAATTTTCAATATTGGACTTTCCAGCGTGCAATCCAATCCCATCCGACCGATTAGCACAATGGAATACCAGAATGCTGCTCTTTCCCAAAGAACCGGCACCAATAAACACACTCTAGTATCACAAACCCGGCACAACAACACAATATTCAGAGCGTAGTTAAATCGTAATGTACAGCTTGCACCCACTTCCGTTTTTCTTCTCCCCTCGCCGTAATACCACCTTTTTTCTGCTGCTGCCAGCAGGGTCCAGGGACGAAGAATCCGAGAAGACACGACCAAAGAGGCCAACTCGCATCGTCGTCTTCCTCGTCTCTATCAAATTCCGTGAGCACAGATTCATGGCTGAGGGATCTCACCACCGTGGGCCACTTGCACGAGATCGCTGAGGAGCTGGAGATCGAGGAGGAGTCTAGCGAGGAGGAGGAGGAGGAAGAAGAAGCGCAGGATCAATTAGACGAAATGGCGTCCTTCGGCAAGTTCCTTGTGAGCGCTGCGCGGAGACAACCCAACGCGGGGCTCACGAGGCTTGTGAGTGCCACCACGCCTTCGGTCCCATGCCACCAAAGCTGACGTGGTTCCTTCCCGCCCTTTCTCGAACCCTCGCTGTCCAGCTGGCGGTTCCACGTATCTACCTCTTGCCTGATTGTGCTGGCTCCATACCGTGGCTGTGGCACTTGTAACATATATCAGATTGCAACTGATGGTGATCTTCCCCAATTTTAATTACTTTATTCTTTCCCCACTTACTCTTTTTGTTTTTACTCTTCTCATATTAAAGTGCCTTTGTGAGTCATGGCATTCTTACGATGGAATAATTGGAGGGAATATCAAAAAGAAAATGAAAAGAAAAATTCTTGCTATTTTTTTTGGAGTTGCATAGTTTCTAGAGCAGAAATATATGGACATGGCTCATCTTGCATTGCCAAATCTGTTCAGAATTTCTGAACTTGCCTTTCGTAAATATTGTTTTGTTTTAATGTTTGACAACATCGGGTGTTTTTAGATAATTTTGTTATCTTATTATTTTTTATTGGGGGGGGGCAAGGGGTTTTTTTTTTTTTTTTTTTTTTCTTTTCCTTCTTCTAATTTTATGGTTCCATTTTAAAAGTTATTGTTGTGTTTGTGGGGTAGGGTTCGCAAAGGTTTCTTACGTCTGAAAATCTTAGGGGATTAAATTTTTCTGTCCTTGTTACATATCTTTTTTCAAAAAATAAAATATTGATGAAAATGTTGAATCTACATGATCAAAATATTTGAAAATAATTTAAAATTTTATATTGTGCATAAGATACTTTTCCTGGCTTCTTCAATATTGTCTATTTATGTCTCTGACATGCTTGTTGGGCTTTGGTGGTGGGATGTAAAGACATTTTTGATATGAAACTTGATGCATAGCACATGTAACATGAAATTTAAAAGTTGTAAAAAATACATGTTTTTAAAAAATTTATGATTACTATTATTTATTTCTTTACAAGAATTGTGGAGAAAATTAAAAACAGTGAAATCAATGATAATTTAAAAAATTATGATCCTAATCTCATGTTCAGAAGGAGATTACTAAAAAAATACAAAACAATTAATTGGTTTAAATCCATCTTGTAGATCATTATCAGTAAATTCAAGTTATGATTATATTTCAGAATATAAATTTGATGACTGAAACTTATAGAAACAAAAAAAGAAATTGAAAAAAAAGAGATTAGGATTGCTAGAAAATAAGTATTTGTATAATTTATATTATTCTTTGTGATGATTTTTGTAACCTAAATCTCTACAGGATAAATAATTCAAGATATGCAAGATTTTTAAAATTTTATTGATGTGTGCAATTATTTAATGTGCATGTGAATATGGACATATATATGTTGAAATCTAAACATAAATGTAATAATTTTATATTAATATTTTTTAGAAAATTGTATTGAATTATCAAAAAATAAAAAAATATTATTCTAAAAATTCTGATAAAAGATGTTTTTTTTATAGATGTATGGATAAAAATTAATATTTTAGATAATTATGATTATACTCAAGAATAAATATTTAAGTTATATTATAAGAGATTACATTATGTGGTTATTAAAAGGTGCATAGTCCTACGATGACAAATAATAGAATATGTGATAGAAATATCTTTAAATAAAATACTTCAAATTTAAAATAAAATATACTATAATATATATATATATATATATATATATATATATATATATTGTTATATTTAATTATCTTGATTTAAATATAATAACTATAAAAAATAAAATGATATTTAAATATTCAACCTTAAGAAATCTATCTTTTGTTTTTGTTTTTTTTAATATGATAATTCTATAAAAATATATATATAATATTATCATGTTTTAAATACCTAAAGCTTATTTTACACCTTGCTAATCAAGTGTGTCTAATACTAAATATACTATTGGTAATAATGTTGTTTTTTCAATTCATTGTAATAATCAATATTACTAAATATACATTCTTTCAAGAATATTATATTTCTTTCAATTAGATAAATATTTGCAATATGTTTTTAATGCATATTGCTAATATTTATGTATAAATTAGACTACTATTAATAAATTTAAGAAATCACTAGATAGATACCTTAGTTTTATTATGTGGGCACACTCTTGCCACATACCTTCACATACTTATAATAATATAATTTTCATACACACATTAATATCATTGTGTGTGATTAGGCAAGGTGTCTATTAAAAAACACAAGAAACTCATATATAGAAAAAAATATATATTTTTATCTTAAAAAATGCCACCTATAAGAAACCAAGTCACATAGATTTAAGTGTCTTAGGAGTTCTATCTTGCATTGAGTGGATATTAGTGATGAGATGTGGGAAGTAACTACTAAGATGGAGCACGACAACTATGATCTTGCTTTGATTCTTTCTGCAATTCTTCTAATGATGTTCTTGCCATCAAACATATAAGCAAAGTACATGCTACTCTAAGAGCAATTTTTTCTAACATTTGCTAGCAAAACAAAACTTTAGTAGACATTATTTGAGATATAGATAATGTCAAATAATAAATGTGTGCAGTTGACTTTTAGAATTGCATTCCATTGAAAGCACTATTAGACAAACTTTACACAAATAATATTTGCCATGCTTTCAAAGATGATCTTGTTGATTGTCCAAGAATCTATTTTTATTTTTAAAGAATTTAGTTGTCTTTGCAAAGGCATTTTTAGAGATTTTTTTTCTAGATCATATATATAAAATCAATTAGTGAATTTTTTTGTTCTTCTATATATTTTAAAGGTCCGCATTATGATGCTTATTTATAAAAAACAACTTTCTTGCTTAATCTTGTTAGTGCTACCTTAGTAAAAAAAAAAGAAAAAAAGAAAAGAAAAAAAAGAACACAATACATGTACTAAATCTTGTATTTCTTCTATGGAATTTGGAGGGTTTAGAAGGAGCAAAACTTATGATGTCTATTTTACAGAAATAAGATTCTATGTAGTTGAAGGAATTCTATAATTATGTGTGTTTGGATTTGAGCTCGAGACAAGCAAATTATAAATGTTGTGCAAAATTCTAGTAAAGCATTAAAAAATGTTCTCATGTGGACATAGCTTTTAAATTGAATGTCAACTATATATATATATATATATATATATTGACTATCTTTATTTCACAAATTATAATTGATCAATATAGCATTTTATAACAACTATTAAGTTTTTTACTATCAATAAATGTTGAACTTTAACATGTACTTCTTGCACATTATTAATTCTAAAGCTATGAAAATATATATTTTTGTCAAATTTTACTTTATACAATATAAAAAAATTGTTGATTGTCTATGGACATAAGAACATATATGCAATATCCTAGAAGATAGAAAGTTATTATAAGTAATAATAAAAAATAAAAAATTAGATTTCATGGAAGTTGTTAAACGATTTTTGAAAACATTGTGACCAACTTGTTTTGTGTCAAATACATCCAAAAGAACGTTTTGAGAAAAATTAAGAAGTGGTTTGAGATTAATAAAAAAATTGAAGTCTTTAGGAAATATTTGAGAAAAATTATTCACAATGATATAGAGGAGAAATTCCAAACCTTGTAGATACAGATGTTAAGAGTTTAAAGCATTGAGAAGGAAGTTATTAACTACTTGTAAAAATCTTAGATTTTATATCAAGTTCACTTTCTTTGTGCTTGGGCAATGGAGGTGATACATTTTAGGTATTTGATAATCTCTCATGTCGAAGAAAATCACTTGGCTATAAAACGGTGGATTGTAGTATTAATTAAGAATTTGAAGGATATATACAACATTTTCATTCTATTGATCAAAAAATCAAGATTGTGCTATACATCATGGAATTGTATGCAAATCCATCCAAATTTTATTTTCACATAATAATCCTCTTTAATATATTACTATCCAAAATACCTCCTACTATGTCCTACATAAGGTTCTTGAAGAATTTTAGGAAACAACTCACATAGTAGGTGACTACATAATTTTAGATTGTATTGGTTTTTTTTATAAAAAATGCTAAAAAATTTCCAATATTTTCTTAAATGAAAGGGATCATTGGATTCCAACAAAAATCTTCTTTTTGATGATTTTTTATTAGCATTAGTTAATAAAATTAATATCATTGAATAAAAAAATATCACATAATTCAAGCTTAAAAGGCTTGCTATTGCAAATTGTAGTATGTCACCAAGAACTCTTATCACATCAATGACAACTTTTAGAGCAATGATTTCAAAACCTTTCACAAATGGAACAAATGTAATGAACCTGCAAATCTCATACTCAAGAGGAGAAAATGCTAGTGATGTAGACTTTCTTCTCTCTTTACACATCCAATAGAAACCTTTGCATTTGAATTGGTGGAGAATAGGAAAATAAATTGATATGAAAAATATAGATACAATGTGCATAATAAGTGCAAATGTCTACAATTATTGAGGAGACGAGAGAAGATGTACTTGTACAATGAAAGAAAAGTATCCACCTAATTATTCTCTTAATATATTATTATTATTATTATTACTATTGTTACTATTATTAGCCAAATTACTCTGAAATTCAATTACACCATTATCCATTCAAATAAAATTTACATATTTTCAAAGAAATCAGTTGTATTTTAAGAATTGATGAAAATAATAGGATTCCCAATATAAACAGAAGTATAAGGAAGATACCCGCATATGAGTACAATACTCATCTGTGCATACGGGTATTTGGTCTAGTGGTATGATTCTCGCTTTGGGTGCGAGAGGTCGGGAGTTCGATTCTCCCAATACCCCTCAATTGTCTATACGGCAGACCTTTTTGAACGCCCAACCTGATTTATTTGAAGGTTGAGCTCGGCGCTAACATGAACCCTACACTACTTGACGAAGTTATGGGTTCCAACACTTTCACCTAAACTGTAAAGGCTCAAGAGTAAATTTTTTTGCCTAAATTGGCATGAGACAGAAATCTGTGCATGAGCAATGTTTAGATGGCGGTACATTCATGATAGGAATACAGGATCAGTATCTTATTTCGTCCTTGAAATTCTAAAACTGGAAGACTTTTGTAGAAACTTTACTGTGATAATTAAAAGAAGGATGTTCTGAGCACATTCAGGTATCTCTAGAGTTCGTTGTTGACTGTGGTTTTGCATCCTTTATCAGGACCCCCAATCACTTTCCATTGTAATAAAACTGTTTGTGGTGAGCTCCAGCTCTCTCAGCTCCTTAGGATAGCAGTAAGGACATGAGACAGAGAATTCAAGATTTACATTTAATATGAAAAAAGGTACAAATTATAATCTTAGAGGACCCAAAATATCATATCTAGTAAGAAAATTAAATGTTTGCAATTAAAATATGCACAATATTTTCTTGTGTAGAGAATTTTTTAAAAGAAAAAAATGGTTCAAGAGCCAAATGTAATTACAAAACATATTTGAAATCCAAAATTATAATGAAGAGTTTATT